GGGGTGCCTCCAACACAGCAGACAGTAGCAGGGATATCAGAGTATAAGGGCTCTCATTGGTGGAGGGAGGCTATGGGAGAGTGCTACCTGGGAAGTGGGTATATAAATAAATAAAAAAGAAAAAAAATAGTTCTTCAAAGCATAAAAATTTGCTCCCTAATAATTAGTAGACGTGAAAAACATTACTATTGAAATCTACCTGATGACTTTATATCCATGCTCAGATGCCAAGGAGCTCAGAAAGTAACCAACTGTACCTAGTAATAATCAGATATATAGAGATTAGAAACACATGTGCATCGTAGTACCAACTGTATTAAAAATGAATTTTTCTGTATGAAACTGTATTTTAATAATGAAATGGAGATCTTTTTTAAAGCTTAAAACCTCATTTAATTTTATGTCTTATAGGGTTTATACTGAGTAAAATATTGTATAACTGTAACAATTCAACTGTAAACCTAAAATTTTACAGCCAATTTTGAAAGAGATGCATCTTAGCTCTGGAAATTTTTATTGAATATGTCAATGCTGTTGTAATGAAATGCTTCTTCTAATTATATGGTTATTAAATAAATAATTAAAAAAATAGAACAAATGAACTGAGGAAAAATTATTTTTTATTTTATGAGTATGAGAGTATTGCTTACATGTATATAAGTGCACCCATGTGTGCAATGCCTGCAGAAGCCAGAAGAGGGCATTGGATCCCTTAGAACTGGAGTTATGGATGGTTGTTAGCCTTCATGCAGGTACTGGGAACAGGACCTGGGTCCTCTGAGACCATAGCATTCTTATTTTTGAATTTCTTAGTCATTCAAAGCTCTATCTTGGTCCTACAGTCATGGAGTAAAAAGGGAGAAGATAAAAACCAGTTTTGTCTTCTTGTTAGCAATTCAACAGTTATTGAAAATGAAGTTTTGCTCCTAGTTATGCATCCTACCATTCATTCATCTTCTTTCCTGCAGTAGCACCTACCTGCTCCACAGATGTCAAGGAAGCATGAGCCAGACTGGCTGGGGTCCCTCTCTAGAGACATTGAGGTTGTTATTCCAATGTTGAGGTGGCTATTTGGTTCAGAGTGGAAACAGCCAATCCCTGCTAATGAAATAGAACATGGTCCAAAATTTAGCTGAGCTGCCTGTTTAAGCTCAGAGTAAGCTTGAGCTGCATGGTTCTATGAGACTTGATGGCACAGGTGCAGCCCCTTCACAGCTATATTTGGGTTTCCTGACCAGAAAGTGCTCAGGACCCTGCCACATTCTACTGTCATCTTCATTGTACCACTGGATGATAAGAGGCATCAAGGTATATGAGTGTTTACATATAGGAGAGTTGAGAACACGTAAAGAGAACAAAAGAAGACAGTGGAGAAGTGACTTTAAGATCTGATACTCAAGATCTAGAAAAGCTTTAAGCAATCTTAGAGATGCTATTAATGTAAGTGAAGTGAAGATCATCTCAGGATGGCAATAGCTCAGAAGTCCAGCAAGAACACACAGCTCTTTCATTTCAGCTCAGGCCTGCTGGTAGGCTCTGACACAAAGGCCCCATTGGGTTGACCCCAACACTTCCCAATGGTGGCTTGGATCGCTTACCTCAGAGAAAGTTATTGGGACAATTGGTGGGACATCAATGGTGGGCTTGGTATGCCTAGGAGATTTAAAAAGGCCCGAGTAACTTAGAGGAACACTTCCAACTATTTTCGTCTGTGTGTGTGTGTGTGTGTGTGTGTGTGTATGTGTGTGTGCGCGCGCACGCATGTGCACTCGTAGTATATATGCATATTCATGAGAGTGAGTGCATGTGTACATGCCTATGTGGGCATGCATGTGGAGGCCAAAGGTCAATACTGGTATCTTTCTCCATCCCTCTCCACCTTACTTTTTGACATAGGACCTTCACTGAACCTGGAACTCATCTATTCAGGTGGGCTGGCTGGCCAATGATCTCTAGTGATGCACCTGTCTTTGCCTCCCTCCAGTGCTGTGATTACAGACACATAGTGTGCCTGGCTTTGTATATGGGTGGTGGGGATCAAACTCAAGTCCTCATGCTTGTGCAGACCCTTCCCACCACTTCTGAAGTTCAGTTACAGCTTTTTGTCCTGTGCCAAGTTCTTATTCTCATGGGGAAGAAAAGAGGTTTGAGACATCCCAGTGTTGCCAGACCTAAGTGTTCTGTGCCTGGGTGCTGGACCCACTTCATGTTGAATCCCACTGCTGACTTGTGTAGCTGTTGTTGGTTGTTTTACCAATAGCTATTTGACCCTCACCTTTCTGTGTATGCACTAGTTTCACCTGCTTGCACCCGTGTCCTCTTGCCTGTGGCCCTTTTCTTATCACTGGAGACTGTTTAGCTGCACAGGAGGGCAGAGTTACTGGGGAAGTAATATCTAAGGGGGAAGAATGATCAGCTAAGGACTTTGCCTTCTGGAACTCCCCACACCCCTGCAAGATGTAATGGCAGCTGCCTGTGGTAGGAACTTACACCCTTTGTTGACTTCCTTCTCTTCTCTATCACTTCCCCATTTCCCTTTCAGTATTTCCTGAGACCCCTTCCAGAGAACTTCTGTACTTTAACCTTTACCTTAGAGTTTGCTTCGAAGGGAAATCAGACTAAGCCAGTGTAGTTGTTTTTATTTTCTTCCTTTTCCCTCTCCCTTTTTAATTCTTTCCTTCCTGTTTTAAGCATACATTAACTGGTGTGGCAGAGAACAACTTCTAAGGTCAGCCTGGGGCTCCAGGCTAGACCTAGAGGCAGAGATAGAAAGAGCAGCAGCCTTTGGTGACCCAGATCCTTACCTCTATTTCCATCTGTTGCTCCAATTGTAATCCTGCCATGTGTACCCCAGATGGGCTGAATGAGATGACTTTGGTTCTAGAAAAAGTACTTGGATTCTAGCTCTAGCTGCCACTTTCTAACCTGTGGCTTCAGGCAAATGACTATTCTGTCCTGTTTCAATGTACTCTTCTGTAGAATGAAGGAGTTAGAATCGATAACCTGTAAATTCCCATCTGCTATGATAAAGGAAGGCAGGTATTACCTGTCTTGGGGACAGAAAACATTTGGTACACACTTGCTACAGCCTGACCATAGTTATACAGTTATGAGGAGATGCCTGACCCTTTCCCTCTCCACATGGAGTTTCCTAGTTCAAAAGCGAATCACGGCATTTAAGTGGGGCTTCCCATTTGTCTGTTCTAACTGTCCCAGCTAAAAGTCTGGTTTCTCACCATACTAGTAACCTGTGGCAAAATGTCCCTTCATCCCAAAGAAGACAGTTCCCATGATGTGAGGGGAAAATGAAGACATTTCCCTAAAGAATGGAAAATAAAATAGGATGTATATTAAGGAAACCACAAATGAAAAGATGTCTCAGGTCGGAAATATCTGTGGCCAGAAGAATCGAGGCAAAACTGTTCTTCCGAGGTCACAGAGGCTCCAGGGCACCTTACACTAGGGGTCAGCAAACTTCTTCTGAACAGGAGAAGATACCGAATGTCTCAGGCTTGTGGGCCATTCGGTTTCCACTGAAACTTCTCAGCTCTGCTACTATGGATTGTAGACACATGTAACAGGAAGAGAGGGACACTCTCCAGGGCAGAGAAGGACACTGGCCTTGGGCACAGAATTTAAGGGGGCCAAAAACTTCAGTAACCAAGATAAATATTTTAATGCAGTTATGTTTCAAATGGAAAAAAGATTGCAAAAAAATAAAGTCACTGAAAGATAAATAAAATAACAAATTTTAAATACAGAATCAGAAAACATATGACTAAATGAGCATAATTAGGTCCTGATAAAACCCTTTGGCTTGCAGGCTGGTTTGCTGACTCTTATGCTAGTCTCCCTGGGCCCTTTCAGAGAAGTGTTGATCTTAGCATCATGTGGCTGAGTGTAATTGTGACATATTCCATGGAGACCTTCTTTAAGCACTCTCTCAGTTCTCCTCCATTGGTGCTATTTGGACTGCTCAACTTGCGCTGCTTTACAGTCCACTTCCCATTACATTCTAATAGGTTCTAGTAGCCCAGGCCTCAAACTGGACCAAGAGGGAAAATAAATACTTCAACAAGGTCTCTACCCTGGTTCTGGTACCACGGATGGTACCCAGTCTCATATACAAGCACTAAGATACTGTAACAGTGGCTCTGATAACCAAGGCTAGAAAAGTGATTAAGAGGGTCACCTGAGTAAATACACTGGATGGAGGGTGATTTGGGTCCCAGTGGGGGATCCTTCGTCATGCTGCTCAGAATTGTGTGAAATGTAAAACTAATGAATTATTTCTGGAATATTCTAGTCACTATCTTCAAACTGTAGCTGACCATGGGTAACAACTGAGTAAAGTAAAGGCAGGGGGTGGGGGATGGGCTACTGTGTTCTTGGCTGTTCTTGGGGAGAGAATCTGATAAATGGTTCACTAGTCTGCTCATCTTGGCTCAGGTACACTTTAATAGTATTAAGTTCTTTATACCAAAAGGCCATTCTGGAAAGTCAAACAGAAACAATTTTAAAGCTCTGTAGTCTATAGTCTGTCTGTTGAATGATGGATGAAGCTAGGGCTAATGCTCTGACACAGGTATTGCAGAGGTGTCAACTTTAGAAGGGTGGCAACCTCAGATACTGTGAGGTGTGACTCAGGTGGGTATTTCTGGAAGGTTCATTCCCTCAAATCTCAGGATGTTGACACCTTCTGTGACTAGACGGGGAGGTCATCCCTAGTCTGAGGTTTGGATTTGATGCAAGATATGGTCAGAAATCCAGAGTTTGGACACCAGCCCACAGCAGCTAAATTCTGGAGCTACTTCCTGATTATACATGTATGTAGATCTCCTTCCAGGCCCACCAAATCTCATCTTCAACTCTTCCAGACACTGTCCTTCATGGTGCAGGGAGAACCACTAAGCCTCACATGACTCAACTGCAGTGAAAAATCCAGAAGGAACTGATAAGACATAAACAAATGAGACAATTCATGGTGAACCTATGTTCCAATAAAACTTTATTTGGCTCATCCTGATCAAGTTTAATAAAGTCTAATAGATTCTTTTATGAACATGATTAGTTATAACAATTCTGATGTAATAACAACTCTCAGTGAACTCCTGGTCAAGTCAGATTGCTGCTCTCCTCAAAAAGTAAAGCCTCCATCTGAGGACAAAGTGGCACATGAGGAGTGGTATGCATTATGTTTTCTTAAAGGAAAAAAAAACCCTAAACATTTCATATTTACATATTTTCCATTTAAAAACTGGTCAGTGTGATTAATTCTGCTTTAAAATATAACTTTCTAATGAATTGACAGTTTCAATGTACAAATCATAGTTTGCTAGATTTAAGGTGCTGCAAAGTGAGGGTAAACACAGCCCAAACCCAGGGATCCTCTCCCAACAGACCTGTTAGACTTCCTGTGGGTATCTTTGGGGTGTTGGCCGGGGGCATGTGAGGATAGAACAGTGGCAGAAATGGCAAAGTGTTCAGGGACAGACTGGGAGCTATTGGTGTCCCCAGTCTATGCTTCTGTAGAGGGATGTTCATCTTAGCCTAAGCTATGAGGGGCGTGGTTGCTTTGAGTTCCTTTCTTTATCATGGGGTTTCCATGTCAGTGCCTGACTCCTCAGGACACTTGAGGTTGGCACCCCTTCTTTAACACCTAGCTTATCTTTCTGGGTTCCTTGTCCAGTGCATTTCTTTAGGGACTGTTCTTGGCCAGGACTAAATGGATGCTCAAAATCAAGGGCAGCATTAATGAAGTTAGATGGGTCCTCTGCAATACCTTCCCTCCTAATTCATCTGCTCTATAGCAGGCACCTTATTGTTTTTTCTTACAAATGAGCAATTTGTGCCAAGAACATTTGGTCCCGAGGTAGGCTTGGAGAGGAGCTGTATGGAGGGGTGGGGTGGGTGAGATTCTGGGGGTGGATCAGAGGGATTATTGGAATTGTTGTCTTCAAACTCACCCTTGTACAACGACATCCACTGGGGAATGGGGACTGTGTCTTGGTGTCAGGAAAGTGCATTGGGCATGCAGGAGGAAGCTGAATGCACAGGCCTGGGAGATAACTGAACTTACCAGCAGACCCCAAACTGCTCCAGTCTGAAGCAATAACTTCGGACCATGCAGAGCTGAGGCAAAAACAGGGAGGCGGCAGGTGAGGACATTTAAGTACTTAGGGAACCAGAGAAAATATGCTGGGTGACTAGGAGAAAGAAACTGGTTCAGTTTCCAGTTTCAGAATACAAGAAACATTGCTCCAAATAAAAGGATATTGTATGGGGCAAATGTTAATGGATAAGAAAGAAGCATGTTGGACCAAGTTCTCGAACCAAAAAGCCAGAGTGACTCCAGTGGAGGAAGACATACTATGGTCAGACACCGCCCAGGGAGCCTGGGTTTCAGAGCTTACCCTGACAATTGCTAGGCCTGTGATCCTCAGCCAGTCACTTTGTTTCTCTGGGTCCAGTTTAGACTGGGTGTTTCACATGGCTTAGAAACTATGACTGCAACCTGCTTCTGCACCTGACACTGAAGTAGGGGGTGTTAGATGGCTGTCCAAGACCTATTTCCTCAGTATAAGTACATTGTCACTTATAAAATGCAGGCCTCCCCTTTGCTGGGAAAGTGATAGCTCCCAGTCAGGCTCTGTTCAAACCCTGCTCCCAGAGGTTAAAGGCTAGTTATTAAGGCAGTTTAAGAAATGGACAGTCCTCTCCCTCCTCGGATCCTCCTGTGCTCTGCTAACCCCAAGGCAGCAGAGATGGGTGGAAGGGGTGCTGGGGATGGTGGTGGGGGATGGCAGAGGCCTGGAGGCCTCCTTCGACCAGGCCTCTTGCTCGGGGAGTTCTCCAGCAACCCCTCTGGGCTCACCACCTTTCTTTGGAGAAGGCCTCTGTCTGCACGAGGTCACCAGGGTGCTCAGAGATGCACGCACCATTGATGTCACCCAGTTTATTGTCTGGCAGGTCCTCTGGCTTGGTGCAGAGCTTCAGGGCCCGTGAGATGAACACATCCAGGTCAAACTGGGGACTGGCACCGCCATCGTTTGGGGCTGGCTGACCAGGGGGCGAGGCAGAGAGGTGTTGCTCAGAACCCTCAGGTGGTGGGCTGGAGTGCTCGGGGCCACCCTGCGTGCTCTTGACCCACTGTGCGATCTCCAGGAAGAGGCTGGCTGGCTCATCCTCCCGTGCCACTGCGTCTGCTGCCACCGCAGCCATCGGGGGTGCGCCGGCTGCCTGCTTCCAGTGTGACAGGTCTAGGATGAGCTTGGGCTCCGAGTAGTGGTGGGGCTTGTTGTCGCGCCACAGCAGCTTGTCCAGGTAGGACGGGGACCCTACCTTGTAGTCACAGGAGCGCCCGTAGTCAGCCTCGAAAGCACGCTCCATGGAGGAGTGCGACTGCTCCAGGAAGCGCTCGGAGCTGCTCTGCGAGTCCTTGCGTGGGTCCACTTGCACATCCTCGGCCAGGGGCGCTGATCCCGCACGTGGGTCCCGCTGCACCTCGCTGGCGTCCTGGCACCGGTCTGGCCGCCACTCCAGATCTGAAGACAGGCTCACTGGATACCTGCAAGGGTACAAATGGAGCGGTGATGGGACACCAAGGCAGGGTGGCCTTCTGGACAGAGCCAAGCCCCCTGACCCTTGCCTGCTACTCACAAGCCTGCTCACTATTTCTCCCAGCCCCTAATGTGCAGGTGCTCCTACCCCTCCAGGGGAGAGGGTGATGTAAGGGTGAGCCTCAAAGGCTAGGCTAGGGGACTGACCTGTGAGCTTAGTCCTCATACTTTTCAGTAGTCAATCAAACCCTTTCCTGAGCACTTACTGTGTGCAGACCTTACATGATAGAGCTATGAACATAGCTGTCCTTAAGGAACTTTCTAATGCATCCCCCTACATAATGCTCACAGTTCACACTGGGTCTGGTTAAACTGCACATCTGGACCTACCAGCTTTGTGTGGGGCCTGGGAGTCTGCATTTTTAACTTGCCGCTGCTGGTCTGCGGAACACATTTCGAGTGGCAAGCCCTAATGAGTGCTTCCTAACCCTGGCTCAGAGTAGAATCACACCTCGGAATTGAAAATAAGCACCCTGCCACCCAATACGGAAGTTCAGGTTCAATAGGCTTAGGCGGCCTGCCTGGGCATGTTTGAGAAACCTTTCCTGGGGATTCTAAGGTGTAGCTAGGGCTGACAACCCTTGCGGTGGTGGGTCTGGAACCATGCCCTGATGCACCTCACAGTCAGGCACAGCAGATGGGGCCTGCAGAAAGATCACAATCATAGTGGCTATAGATCTTTGGAATTCTGCCCTCTGCTCAACAGCCCTGCAGCCAAGGAGAGTGGAATCAGATAGCCAAGAGCAAATGAAGGGCTTGTGCCAGGTGTTCTCTGCACAGCCAGGGCGGGTGGGGGAGGTTGGGAACAAAGAGAAGATAGCAGCTCTTAGCCAGCTGCTCCCTGAACCAGAGGTCTGGTGATCACACTGGTCAATTAGACCAGCCAAGGACAGGAGGGCAGGCCCACAGACTGTGGCTAGCGAGTCAGGGGAGGGGCTGGAGCTCCCTACCTCCTAGAGACATCGCCAGAGCGTGAATGGCTCCCAGAACTCAGAAGTGCCCTTTTCCTGCATGGCCTTGAAATTGCAGATGTTTCTAGAAAGCAGAGCTGGGAAGCCACAGTGTTTGGCTGTTACACACCGAGTGCTGGCCTACATTACCTATCACCTTTGCAGCAACCCTGAAGACTTAGAGCTAGCACCATGCTTGACAGAACACAGCAGAAAGGTGAAGTGCTGCCTACCACAGCAGCCGCACCTGGGCATACAACGTGCCGTGGCCATGTCAGCCTTGTCTTTTGTGCAGCTGTGATGGGGAAGGCCAGGAGTAGAGCAGTACCAAGCTTGGCAATGGTTGGAATTGACTGGCAGTGGCCTAAGGCACCCTGTTACAGTCTTCCCTGGTCCCATCCCCAGGCCACATCCATGAAATATAGGGTGACCCTTGCTAAGCTAATACTGTGTCCTGAATTCTGTGGAGTAGAAGGGGAGGGGTCTGTGAGTCTAGGGACCACAGTCTAGGGAGGCCCAGCATGGGATGGCAGAAGAGCCTTCATTAATCTCTATTTGCTGACAACACTCAACAACAGGAAGTTAGAAAACCTGTCCCAAATGGCAGTTGCTCTGCATCCCCACTCCCCCGAGCTCCTCAATCTGAAACCTATCATCTGTCAAACGAGTAAAAAAGAGAATTGCTCATCTGTCATTTATGTAACTAGCTGTCACATTCCCATGGCAGTGGGGAATCCCAGTTAGCCCCCTCAGAGTTGCTGCAGCTAAGCCCTCCTTCCACTGCTATTTCTGAACTGAGCAGCTACTGGTGCTGCCTCCCAGAATTAGCAAATGGTGATGCCCCAGTGTGTAGCTGCCTGATTTCAGGACAGGAAAGGATCTATGAGCTCAGTACCGTTCCCACAGAAATTGTCTAAAAATCTAAAAACACTGAATCATTGGAAGTAACTGCCTGTGATGCCTGTCAAGGATCCTGAGGACAAGTTTAGTTTAGCATGGAAGTTCTATGATTGCTTAGTAGTGTCTGACACTGTTGCAATTTTGAGATGGCCCTACACAGGTCTGCTGTGTGATATGATGTCAGTCTTAGCCTCTCCGAGCTGGAACTTCCTCATGGACAATAATGATGACACAGACTTCCTCAAGGGCATTTTTAGGAGATGTGAATGCCGTGTAAGATGACAAATGTTTTGTCATGGGGAATTCTGCACTGTTTTCTTGCCTCACATTGTTGTACTTGGCTTGTCAGTCTTGGCTTGGGGTGTAGTTCAGTGGCAGAGTGCTTGGCTAGCATGTTCAAGGCCCAAGGCAAAATCCAAGTCTGCTGGATGCAAGGTGCCATAGTGGGTACTCACTAACTCTTGCCCCTTTGTGTATACCAAGCTCTGGGTTTGGTGGCCTCAGGGTGCCAAGGAAAGCTGGGGTAGCTGTTCTGCAGAGTGGAAGGCCCTGACACATGTGTGCAGCACCCAGCTGGCCACTCACTGGGAGTGCCTGGGGACAGAAGAAAGGCAGGGAGATAAGCGGAGGAAAGTGCCCAATGCAGGGTGAGAGATGGAGGTCATGGAGGAGCAAAAGTAAAGGGGAAAGGAGAGGACAGGCAGACACAGTTCTGGACTCCAGCCTGGGAGGCCTGGACCTGCACCTGTCCCAGTTGGAGAGCTGGCTCTGGCTGGCAGCCATCAGCACCATGTCGTCGATCTCATCTTCAATGCGGAAGGGGTGTTGCGAGGTGGGCTCGTCCTCCGGGCATGAATACGGGCTCATGTAGGGGTGCTGCAGCCCCATCTCAGCTGTTAGGCGGTCCATGGGGTTAAAGGTCAAGATCTTCTCCAGAAAATCAATGGCTGTGGAGAGCAAAGCCACACATGAAGGTCATGTGCTGCCCCACCACCCTGGCTGACAAGAATCGTTAGAATGGTGACACCCTCCTGGCACTTGTAAATTCGTATTTGCAAAAAGTGGCTTCTTAACTTTGCAAATGAATTAAATAGACTGGCAGAGATCTAAGGCAACCTGCTCAAGTTGTCACTGTAGGGCAGAGGAGGCTGAGGCCACATCTTGCCCTAGGCTAGACTGCTCTAGACACAGGAACTGGGGAGAGGTAGAGATTACTCCTGGAACACAGGGGTTCAGTTCCACTGGGGTCCTCCTGGAGACCGTTGGGACACAGCTCACAGGAGTGGGGGGTGGTCTGTGATATGTACACAGCACTCCATTTGTCAGGGTTGAAGGCTTCTAGGAAAGGGGCAAGAGCCCACTGGAGAAAGCCTTGGTGGGAGAGGAAAGCTAGGAGGGAGAGGGAAGGACAGAGGATATACAGCCCATAGGTCCTGTTGGAGGCCAGAGCTCTTTCCTACTGGCCTGCTGTGCCTGGCAGCACCCATCAGTGTCTAGATCCAGGGGCTTCTGGGCTGCCACAGTGGTGGCTGTTCACCAACCTGCAAGGCAGTGCACTAAGAGTTCAGCAGCTGACAGGTGTAGGGGTGTGCTAGCTAGATAGCACCTTATACTCAGGAGCTACTGTACTTCCCTCCAAGCAGGCTGTGCCCCAGGTCATATCAGAGCCCAGCCTGGATTGGGGGTTTATAGTGCTTCACACTTGTAGTCTTATGGCTCCTCTTGAGCCACGACTTGGCTGTTCATGTTCCAACCCACACAATGGGGAGATGGAAGTGAGCTCCAAGACTGGGCTACCTACTCTCAAGGCTCCTCTACCCACACTTAAGCCTGTTCCTAACACCAGCCCTCCTGGACTCTTTGCAAGAAACATAGTTGCAGGAAATCAATGGTGTCACAAGGTCATTGGCTTCTCAAGAGGATACAGTGTTCTTGTGAGGCCCTGGACTGAAAAATTAGTTAGGCAGCAGAGACTCTGATCCCTCTCTGATGCTCAGAGCATCTCTAGCTGAGGACCTGGAAGAGGATACATCTCAGAAGATTTGAGACTGCACAAATTCATCAAGGCATATTGATAGGCTGGGCAAGTCTTCCCACTTGCTTCCTACTCTTGGCCCCACCTGTTACCCAGGGCCTTTGGACAAGGCAATAGAGCCTTGAAGCTCTGCACTCCATTGATGTCCTTACCAAAGATAACCAGTAAAGCTGGGAGTGGAAAGCAAAGTTCTAGCCCCAGGCTGTTCCCTTGACTGTCAAGAGACTGTCCTAGCTTTGCTCCCTAACAGCTTGACCTCCAACCGGTGCTTAAGATAGAATTCTTCCTTCTGTCAATCTAGATCCACCCCCTTTATCACCCCTGGACTCAGTTCTGCTGTCACTGGTCCCCTAAATCCATGTGTCCCCTCTGCTGATGACTACCTTCTGCTTCAAGTCAGTGGTTGTACTCCCTATGAGTCCCCTCTCCCAGCACCCCACTGGCCTGCCTCACCAAGTCCTTCCTGCAGTGAGTGACTTGTGACTAGGCCCAGTCTGAACTGGTATAGGTACCCCACTTCAAGCCCAGCCCCAGCCTACACTCCTGTAGGAGTCTATGGCTTCTGCTTAAGTGACTGCCTAGTGTGACCTCGTAGGCTGTCTTCAGATGGCAGATCTACTGAGGGTGGGGGTCTGGCAGAAGTCACTCAACTTCTCTAGATGCCATAAGGCATTTCTTGTACAATGAGACTTTTGTACAATCACACCTCTCTCCTCTGGCCCACTGGATCTCACGCAGGGCTCTTAGAGCCACTGGTGTTCTGGAAGGATTCTAGTCCCTCACTCTGCTTTGCCCACTACACTCATTCTACCTTTTCATGTATCAGCTTTCCTTGTCGGATTCACCCTTTGGGTATATGAATTGTGGATTTACCAAACTGGACACCTACAGTGTGGTCTCAGGTTCTGTCTCCCTGACCTTGCACCTGTCATGTGATGGCTACCTGAGCTGCTAAGGGAATATTGTCACCTAGTTGGAGTCTCTTCTGCAGACCCTTTGGCCTCTTCTGGCTGGGAGGCCTGGAGTGTACAGCAGCGGGAGCAAAGCTGAGGGCTACCGCAGCTCCTCTGGGCAGCTGGCTTTGGGGTTAGTTCAATTCCATGATGCCTTATGACCTTAAGGTCAGTGATTGACTGGGGCTACTTGTAGAGGCAAGGGGCAGATTGGGGAACACAGGTTGAAGCCACACAGTGGGTGGCAAAGCTAGCAAGGCCTGAGGGCTCTTGGTCGGCTCTAGGATCAATTAGGATGGGTCCCGGAAGCCCTTATAGGCCCTTCTGACCTCTCCAGCATCACTGCTACACTTGCCCATGAGTCCTCCACCTTTTTCAACCCAGCTTCTCTGAACTTCCCAGCACTTGATAGCTCCCTTCTGTTCTCCAAATTCCTGGACTCTCAACAGTCTTTAGGATATGTTTTTTTATTATTCATTCTCAACTAGGATGGGCTCTCTGTCTTCATGGAAGGCTAGACTACCTCATATCACTTTGAATTCCCATCCCTAACAGTTTCCTAGCCATGATGAGTTAATAAATGTTGGCTGACTACCCTAAGGAGCTTTGTCTTCTATAAGGCACTGATTGTGACCTCTGAACACAATGTCTACACCTCTCAGAGCCACAGTAATAAGGTTCTATGTGTGGCTGCTTGGGAGGAAGAATGGCATGGACAACACAGTTATGATCCAAAACTCCTGGAGCAAAAGAACACGCTCTGCTTTTCCACCTTTCCCCAGGGGAAGAAGGCCACGTCCTCAGCTGGCAGCACAGCAGACAGAGGTGCCTGGGTCTGTAACTTTTTTTCTCAATAAGAAATACATTTTAAAAATTTAAATATTTTACTTATTATTTTTATTTTATGTGTATGAGTGTATTGCCTGCATGTATGTAAGTGCACCCATGTCATCCAATGCCTGTGGAGGTCAGAAGAGAGTGTCAGATCCCCTGGAACTGGAGTTACGGATGGTTGTTAGCTGCCATGTGGGTTCTGAGAATTGAATCCAGGTCCTCTGCAAGAATAGCCAGTGTTCTTAACTACTGAGTCATCTCTCCAGGCCCTCCCCCCACCTTTTTCTTTCTTTTTTGAGACAGGGTCTCCCTGTAGCTACAGCTGGTCTGGAGCTCACTATGGAGACCAGGCTGACCTTGATCTCTCAGAGATCCAACTGCCTCTGCTACCTGAGTGCTGGCATTAAAAACATGTACCACCATGCCAATAATAAGAAATAAAAATTTTAATTAAGCCATTGGGAATTTGGGCCTGTCTTACAATTGACTAAACTCATCCCACCTATGTGAGGGTAGCCCAAGGAAGCCACATATACAATTTACTGAGCAATTATCCTATTCCACAGGCTTTGCCAATCTTGTTACTTAAAGGATACAACTACCCACTATGGCTTGGATTTGAAATGTCCCCCAAAGAGGAGAGTGTTAAAGGCGTGGTCCCCAGTGTGTGATAGTCGCGGGTGGAACTTTTGGAAAGAGATTGCCAGGAGAGCTCTGCCCTCATCTGTAGATGGATCCATCAATGCATTCAGAATTGAATAGACTATTGGCAGGTGGTGGGAACTATTGAAGATGAGGTCTGGTTAGCGACTTGGGTCACTGGGGGTGTGTCCTTTAAGGGTATATCCTGTTTCACACTTGTCCTCACATGTGCACCATCCCTCTTGTTCCTGGCTCTTGAACTGCACAGCTTTGCTCTGCCATATCCCCATCTGCTATGATATTCTGACTTAACGCAGACCCAGAAGCAATGGAGCCAAGTGACACAGACAGAAACTTCTGAAGCCATGAGCCAAAATGAACCTTTTCTCCTTTCACTTTTCTTGTGTATTTTGTCATGGCAAGGGAAAGCTAACTAAACACACCCTAAGTGTCACCTTTTATTATACCCATTTTTACAATTAAGGAAATAGAGGTTCAGGGAAGTTAGGTAATATGCTGAAGACCACACAGCTAGTCCCTGGGAAGTGGAAACTGAACCTGAGTCTGGGCCCTGAAGCAGAGAGCTAGGGCAAACATCTACTGCTGGGGGACGGGTGCAGGGTGTATGACATCTGAACCCCAGACCATGCTCTGTCCTTTGGAGGGAGGCCCTCTGCCCCAACCCTACAAAGTAAAGCCAGAGCCCGGCTCTCGGGATGCTGGCCTGGTGAGGCTTGGGTACCTTCACTGTTGACTTCAGGGAGCAGCTTGCGCAGCGGCCTCTTCACTTCCCAGGTACTGCTGACGAACGACGGCATCACCCTGAGAAGCTCATCCTTGTCTTCCTCTCGGATCACAGGGATGGTTTCCAGAATGAGCTGCATCTGCTCCAGCTCATGAGCCCCTGGGGAGGCAAATGCCACCAAGTTAAGATGTTTCCCCGAGAAGTTGCGTATGGAGAAGCTCTGGAGAGGGGCACCATCGGGCAGTGGGCAGCACTATGCTCGGAGGCAAGGGACCTGGACTTTTATTTGCATTCTACTACTAACTCAATGTGTGACTACTGAAGCCTGCTTGCTGTCTCTGGGCTTAGCTTTGTTAAATGTAAAAAGAGACTTGTTATGGTTTTAATGTAAAATATCCCTTAAGGGCTTGTGCATTTGAACTCTTGGCCCCCAGTAGGTGGTGCCATTTGGGGAGCTTGTGGCCTTCTGAGATATAGGGCCTACCTGGCTTTCATAAGTCCCTAGGGGGAGGCCTTGTGGGTTATAGCTCCACTTCTGGCCTGCGTTTTCTACTTCCTGTCCACCACTGGGATGTGAACCAGCTGTGCAGCTCCCACCACCACTGACCTGACCTATGTAGCCACCAGGCCTCCCCTAATAAGCCAAAACAAACTTCTATTCCTTAAGGTTTTTCTGACAGGTGTTCTGTCACAGTGATGAGAAAAGTAACTTAATGTAGGCTTGAATCTAGTGTCCGAGGCCCAATCTAGTCCCCTAGCATCTTCTGGAACAGAAGCTTGAGGTAAACTGAGTCAGCCAGCGGTAAGGAGATGGGACAAGCCCAGCCAAGGCTTGCAAGTGTACCTCCTCACATGTGTCCCTGAAAGCTCTCTACTAAGCTGGGGAGGGAAGACAATTATAAAACTAAGATGAGCCTTTCCCTGGGGGTTTCCAATGATGAGGATCCAACCAGAACATCCTCAGGAGTAACATAATCGAGAATAAGAGATTGGATTTTGGAGGCCCTTTGAACACACTGTCTGTGATGATTTGAAGTGTCCCCTGTAGGTAGGCTCCAAGTATTTGAACACTTTGCCCCAGTTGGTGGTGCTGTTTTGGGAAGTTTTAGGAGTGGTGGCCTTGCCAGAGGGAGCTCATTACTGGGCTTTGAGAGTACAGAGCTGTGTCCATTTGCAGTCTGGCTCTACTTTGCTTCCAGTGTCTTCTTGGAGATGTGAGTGCTCAGCTTTCTGCTCCAGCCACTTCTGTTGCCTGCCCCCCTGCCATGATGGACTCAACCTTCTGGAACCATAAGCCAAAAAAAAAATCTTGGTTGCCTTGGTCATGGTTTTTTATCATAGCAACAGAAAAGTAACTGATATACTGTCTCTGTACTCTTTGGGCCCAGGGAGGAAGGCGAGCTCGGCCATGTCTGAAGAATGGTGTGGCAGGATGGCACCAGCACTCATTCATGTATTTTACTCATTCATTCATTCACTCATTTAATATTTGTGTATTGGGTTCTGTATCCATGCCAGGCATCCTGCTGGATGTGGGAATGAGTACAGGTTCTTGTCCATAAAGAGCTTCAGTCTGTGTGTCTCAGAAACTCAAGTTGTCTTCCAGACCACCACTAACTGTGGGTGGCATCTGTACTCTGTTATTGTGGGTCCTAGCCAGGCCTGTCTCCTTGACATTCGGCTGTGCTGACCTCTATCCTCTTTTTTGAGCCTGAGGACTCTTTCCCCATCAGTGCTAGCCTAACCTCTCCTTCTTCACAAAGTTTCCCTGGCCATCCACCTGTACAGAGAGCCCTCCTCTGCTCATTGACTCCTGTAGAATCCCAACATTCCAGAAGCTGGTAGCCTAGAGTAGATGTTATACCCTAGGGGATGCTTTCCCTTGTCCCATCCAGAAAAATGTATACAAGTGTCTACAGCATTGGGACTTCCCTAGAAGGGATGCCTTTGACCTCTTCCTGCCCTGAGCTCAAACAGGATCAGCTAAGGGACCCTGGGAGCCACTTGTGGACTCTCTTCAGATGAACACTTAAGACCATTCTCCAAGGCACCACAAGGTCAACTGTGATCAAGCTAAAGATAGATGCTGGAACTTTGCTGAATAGACCGTGACCCCTCTCCGCTGTGACACACAGACCAGTAGTGCACAGACCTATGCTAAGAGTTGCTTCCTCAATGACAGTTGAGATGGTAAGGAACTAGCCTATCTCTCCTGTGAACTTCTGCTACAGATCAATTGTGTCTCACCAGAGGCAGCCAGTGGGGTCTTACCATCTATGTGGTGGGGCAGAGGGCAGGAGCTTTGGGGTCAGGTAGGGAACCAATTCTGATGGCACATCAAGTGTGTTAGTTTATGACTGACACTTAATAAACCTTGGCTTCTGCTGCTTTCTAGAGCTGGAGAACAGTGAGTTTCTCTGAGTAAGGCAAAGGCATATTCACATGAAGGACTGATGTCTTAATCAGCCCTGGTACTCCTTTGGTGACAGATGTCACTTGGGGAAAGCATGTTAACACTCTGAGTTTACTAAAGGACCCCTGAAAAATGAGGGTGGGTGCTGCTGTTGTGACCTCTCCCACTCCTCTTCTGTATGTCTTTGGGGGCAGAGACAATCCTGTTTACTTTCCTATCTCTATTTGCAATGAGGCTCTGACTGTCACTGTCCACCTGAGCACGTGGAGGCCACCTATTCATTGCTGTAGTCCTCCAACAGGGATGATCTGAGCTTTTCGGCAAAGCCAGCTAGAGGTACAGGGTTAGGTTAGAATCCTGAGAGCCAGTCAGAGCAACATTTAGGACTGACAATGGAAACTTGGGGGAGGCGGGAGGGACACAGGGCAGAGGAAATAGGACTAGAGGAGTGAGAAGCAGGGGTACAGATCTGACAGAGGGAGGTGGAAGCTACCAGTCCAAGGAGCAGAGTCAGGAGGAGCAGGGTTAGGTACTGCAGATCAGCACAACAGGATGAGGTTAAAATGGGTTCTTCTGGAGTTAAGAACAGAGCTACGTCTGCATTCTGGGTAACACAGCTTCCATGGGTTGGGAGGCATTATGGTTTGGATATAAAGTATATCAACCAAAAGGGTCATATGTTGAAGGCTTGGCTCCTAGCCAGCGGTGCTGTTGAGAGATGACTGGGTCATCAGGGGTTTAATGTACTGATGAATTCATAGATGAGTGGGATATTAGGAGGTAAGTTCTAGGTGGAAGAAGGAGGCTACTGTGGGCATTCCTTAGAAGGGTAAGTCTTAAGAGCCATGGTTGGTACATGACCATAAAGAAACAGAGACTTTCAGGCCACTGGGAACTTGTTCATATGAACTTGCAACAATGGTGAAATCATGCACAAGACCCATGCCAACTCAATCAGACAAAAACACAGCAAGAAACTAGGGAAATGGGCAGCAGGCACCAACCCTAGCCTAGGACCTATTGGTAACTGATTACTGCTGGGTGAGGGACAGCAGATCTTCTTTAAGGGAGTGACTCTAGATAGGCTGACTAGACTCCAGTGGATGAACTTGCATTGAGGGACATCTGGGTACAAATGCTTTACCAGATAGGACCTAACATACATGGAAGAATGCATGAAATACAGTGTGAGTGGGGGAGTGGAGGGGGAGTGGATGAGGGAGGGATCTAACTTTGATTAAGATCTATTATATGGAAATGTTCAAGAACTCAATAAAAATATTTTGAAAAAGAAGTGTATGTTTCTGGCTCCTTCTTTTTCTCTTTGTATCCTGGCTGCAAGGAGGTGAGTAGCTTTCCCCTACCTTGCCTTTCCACCATGACATTTCTGCCTTGCCACGGGGATGAACACAACACAGCCAGCTAAACACAGATTGAAACCTCTGGCATGAGTCTAAGTAAGTCTTTCTTCCTTTAAGGCTGTTTATGTCAGGTATTTTGTCACAGCAATACAAAGTGATCAATATAGAAGGAGTATAAGATGCACTGCAGGGGGTAGGGGTGAGGAGAGATTGGAGAAGAGTAAGTGGGGAGGGAAAAAGTTCTTCCAGGCAAGGAAAGGGGATGGGGATGAGGATGAGGTGTCGTGGGAGCACCAAGAGGGATGACTGCCCTGGGGCATCAGCAAAGACATCATGGAGGACAGGGACATAAACCAAGTTTCAGTGGGAGTTTTCTAAGCAGAGAAGGGCTTTTTTGTTGTTGCTGCTGCTCTTTTGTTTTTGTGTCATGGTAAACATAATAAAATCATGATGGATTAGGAAAGCAATGGATTACTTAGTGTGCCTACAGGACAGGAAACGTAGTATTGGAGAGAAAGAGAGCAGGAAGAGCCCGAGCACTTTCGGTGGATGTTTTAGTGCCGAATGGACTGAATCTGAAGGTGTTGGGGTAAAAGTGTGTCTTAGTTCATCTGAGCTGCTATAGCAAAATACCCTAGATAGAGTGGCTTTGAAACAACACACATTTGTTCCTTGCAGTTTTGGAGCTGAGAAGTCTAAGATTAAGGCGCTGGCACATTCAAAATCTAGTGAAGGACTTGGTCTTCTTGCCACATCCTCACATGGTGTAAAGGGTTAGGGAGCTCCTTGGAAACTCTTATAAGGGCACCAATCCCAGAAATCATTTCCTCTAAGCCCCATCTTTAAAATTTTAAAAACTTATTTTTAACTTTTTATGTATAGTCACCCATGCATGCAGTATCTGTGGATGTCAGAAGAGGGTGCTGGACCCCCTGGAAATGGAGCCGCAGTTGGTTATTAAACACCATGTGGGTGCTGGGAACTGAACCCAGGTCCTTTGGAAGAGTAGCCAGTGCTCTTAACCACTAAGCTATCTCTCCAGCCTCTAAGCCTCATCTTTTAATAGCACCAGACTGAGGTGGAAGATTAAGATAGGGTTTCAATACAATTTTAGAGCACAGCAAAATGGCTAGCTTATTGCAAAAAGTCTGTGTACAAAAGGCTAATCTGAGTTTTTTACAGTAATTTTGTATGGCATTATAATAACATGCCTCCCAGAGGTACCATGAAAACCAAAGTCATTTCAGCAAAAGATTAGCATGTTTTAGGATTAGTACATGCTTTATATACAGTTCTTCCACTTTATTGAACAACACTGGAAAAACAGGTATGTGACCTTAGCTAGCAACTCACCAGCGAATAGCATTCTTCCTGTGAGCATCTCAGCCAGGATGCAGCCGGCTGCCCACATATCGATGGCTTTCGTGTAGTTGTTAGGAGACAGGAGCAGTCGTGGAGAGCGGTACCACTTTGTCACCAACCCTTCTGATAGATAACCCTGAAAGACAAAGTTCCCATATATCAATCAGTGAGTTGCAGGCGCCGTCCCTCCTGTGCCTCTCCCGGAGAGACGGCCCCTTTCAGAATCTGTTCCTCCTTGCTCCTTTTCCCTTGACCATGAACGAGCCGGGCTAGGTTCATGGGACTAAAAGGCTTAAGTGTGGGAACCTCATAGGCCCCGGTTCTTTGTGGAAGGGATACAGAGCACTGGTGTTCTGGAAGGAATGATTTTCCGTACCATTTGATGTAACCAAGTCTGTTCACATTGAATAAGAACATAAGTGACCGGGAGCCATGCTCAAGTTCATTGCTGCCATCAGCAGTCATGATCAGACACTGAAATGGCATTTGTCTGGTGGCTAAATATGAGAAATAGCCATACATATGAAATTGAGGCAGTAGCTTTGGTAGTGATGATTAAAATTAACACTGCTCCAAAGCCAGGCACCAGGCAGGCTCCTGCTGAGAACAGGAAAGGCTTTCTTCATAGACACAGCCAGTTGATAGACCAAGGCAGCCTGAGTCACAGAAAAATCAGGGCTTCTGGGGCTCAGGAGGTCCTGGGGGTTCTGTAGAGTTTTGGGGGGCAGTCATTTTGGCTAATTTTGGTCCCTGCCTTGTGATTTGTAGTCTGGGATGGAATCTGTCCCAGTTGCACATGCTAATGATCTTTTTGGCATAGATAGGGAAATATAATCAGGCAACTTAGAAATTGTGTTCTATGTAATTCAGAAAGCTGGCCTGACAATGAAGTCAGTACTGTCCACTTGAGCTTCTCTGTGGGCGATTCTAGGGTTGGTTGTGTTATTGGCTGTTATTTCCAATATGGCATCCAATTTTCCTTTGTTCCAATATAAAGAGTGTCACAGACTCTTTATATTGGTTAAAGCAGATGAAAAATGAAAGCCCAGATACCCAGGAGCTGTTGATGTGTCATTCTGAAATCTCTGCATTTGCTGAGCAAAGATTGGAGAGCAGGGAGCTGGAGAGATGGCTCAGCAGTTATGAACATTGTCTGCTTTTGCAGAGGACCTGGATTCAATTCCTAGCACCCATGTGGTGGCTAAGAACCATCCTTAACTCTGGTTCCAGGGGAATCCAACACCCTCTTCTGATCTCCGCAGCAGTCACTCACATACATGAAGGCAATACACACATACACATGAAATAGAAATAATAAGTAAAGCATTTTTAAAAAGACTGGAGAGCAGGCCCCATGCTGGTTGACGAGAGGAAGACAGAGGAAGACTTCTGGTATCATACATATGTTGAAAAAACTTATTTACTTATTTGTTCATTTTATATGTATGAGTGGTTTTTTACTGCAGGTATGTAAGCACACTGTGTCACTCTGCCTGTGGAGGCCAGAAGAGGGAATCAGGTCGCCTGGAACTGGAGTTAAAGATGGTTGCTAGCCCCCATGTGGGTGCTGGGAACTAAACCTAGGTCCTCTACCAGTGCTCTTAACCACTGAGCCATGTCTCTAGCCCCACATTTTGGTTTTTGCCCTTGACTCCTGGCTCATGTTTCCCTTCTCTAGTCAGGCCATGGAAACTAGAATTCCTTAATCATCCCCCGCCCTGCCCCTCAAAGCTAACAGCAACTCTGATCTTTTGTCACCTTTCTTTGAGTTATTCAAAAGGAAATTCTTGGATCTTCCCTTGTCAACAATTGGTTATAAGGCCCCCATAATTTCTGAGAGGTCCTGTCCCATAAACTGGAATGTGTAAGGCTGCACAGAAGTCAAGAAGAATCCGGTTTCCCCACTCAGTCTATTAGCATTTGGTCCTGCCCTTTGGGTTAAATCACCTTTGTACACAGTTGTGCACATTTCAGTCATGCTTATTCAATTAAGTCTCTGTGAAAACCCAAAGCACAGGGTTCAGAGAGCTGGGTGGTCAAATGTGGAATTTCCAGAGAGGGCTTAGAAGCTCCAGGCCACTTTCCCCATACTTAACCCCTATTGTATCCTTGCATTTTTTTTCCTGTCTTTTTGAGACAGGGTCTCCCTGTAGCCCCAGTTGACCTGGAACTCCCTACATAGACCAGGCTGACCTTGAACTCACAGAGATCTGCCTGCCTCCGCTTCCCAAGTACTAGGATTAAAGTGGTGCGCCAACGCCTGGCTGAACAGAATACAGACTTTTTTTTTTCTTTTGTCTTTTTGAGACAGGGTTTCCCTGTAGCCCCAGGTGGCCTAAACTCCCCATGTAGACCAGGTTGGTCACAGAGATCCTCCTGCCTCTGCCTCCCGAGGGCTGGGATTAAAGGTGTGTGCCACCACGGCCTGGCACATCTTTTAAAATAAACCTGTAAATATGTTTTCTTGAGTTCTGTGAGCCACTAACAAATCAAACTCAAGGAAGAGGGAAGGGGAAACTTAGATCAATAGTTGGTCAGTCAGAAGTTCCAGAGACCTAGACTTGGTACTGGTGTCTAAAGTAGGGAACTCTGGTGGCATAGAGCCCTCCCTGTGCAATCTGATGCTATCTCCAGGTAGACAGTGTCCAGATTGAATTGACTTGGAGGATACCTCGCTGGTGGCCCCTATTGTTTGCTGGCTCCCTAACCACGTCTTGGAGTCACTGAAGTGATCTGTGTTGGGAGCACATGTAAGTAATCTATAGGAGTTTGCTTTCCTCTGTCCTTAATCTATCCCTTAACTAGAAATGACTAGAGTACCCCCAGCCCTGGCCTTCATGACTGACAAATGTCTTACAGAGTTACAGGCTGCTTTTCTCTCACTTCTGCACATCCCTTGGATGGATGTCCTCAGACTCTTGGCCCTACCTGGCTAACATGCTTTCAAGCTAGCATCCTCTTCATAGCTCCCTGGCTCTGCCACCCACCATTTCCCCCAGGAATGCTGGACAACGTGGCCCCCATGGGGAACCGGTCTGGCTTGTTCCACAGCTGCTTTGGTCTTGCCTAGCCTTGTGTCTGTCTCCCAGAAAACATGAGTAAGCCCTATGAAGAACTGGCAGGAGGCTGGAGGGAGTACTTCTGGGCCTGTGTGACCTGAGCCCCTTCAACATGCGGCACCTTTGGAGGGGCCCACTGGTCCTTGTCCTCAACACAGTCAACTTCATGGACAGTTTCAATTCATACTTTCAAAGATGGGTGATGAAGCTACATAGATTGATAATCATTCATGTTTTGCCTTGTTCCCCCACACCCCCAAAAAAGTCAATGTAATTATAGTAGTTTCACTTTTTAAATTAAAGTCAGGCTATTGAGGTAAAATTTTCAGAGTAAAATTTGCCCTTTTAGTTTGTGGTTCTTTGAGTTTTGACAAGAGCAACTAATCATGCCTTTTCCATCATAAGCTTGGTATTTAACAATCCCTTCCATTAACTCCAACAACTCTGTCATGTCCCCTTCTGGCCACTTTTAGACTCAGCCTCTGGCAACCACTGTTTTCTGTTCTCTTAGGTGTTTGTCTTGTTTTTGAAGCAAAGTCTTACCATATAGCCTACATTAGACCTGAACTCTTTTAATTTTTTAATTAATTATTATTATTGTTTAATTTAGGTGAGTGTGTGCATGCCTTTAATTTCAGCACTAGAGAGGCAGATGCAGGTAGATCTCTATGAGTTCTAGGCCAGCCTGATCTACATAGTGAGTTCCAGGCCAGCCAGAGTTGTGCAGTGAAACCTGTATCCAAAAAAAAAAAAAAAGATTTAGTGCTGGAGAGGGCTCAGAGGTTAAGAGCACTGACTGCTCTGCTTTTCCAGACGACCTGGGTTCGGTTCCCAGCACCTACATGGCAGATAACTCCAGATCCTTGGGATCTGATGCCTTCTTCTGGCCTCCACAGGAACTTTTATGTGTGGGTGCACTTACATACATGCAGGCAAAACACTCAAACATGTAAAATGGTAATAATAAATAAAATATTAAGAAAAAAAGACTAAGGGGCTGGAGAGAGGGTTCAGAGGTTAAGGGCACTAGCTGCTTTTGCAGAGAACCTGGGCATCCACATGGCAGCTAACAACCATCAGTAACTCTAGTTCTTCTGACCTCTTTGGGCACTGCATGCATGTGGTGCACTTACACACATGTAGACGAAATACTCATGCACATAAAATGAAAATTTTAAAGAATTTTAAAAAGATTTATTTATTTTATAAGTGTTTGCTTCCATATATATATGTGTACCACATGCCTGCCTGTTGTCTGTGGAGGTCCGATGAGAACATTGAATCCCTTGGAACTGATCTTACATGAGCTGTCATGAGGGTGCTGGGAACTGAATCCTGGTCCTCTGCAAAAGCAGCAAGTGCTGTTAACCACTGAGTTATCTCTTCAGCCCCTCTCAAACTCTTGATCCTCCTGCCTCTGCCTCCTGAGTGCTGAGATTGCAAACATGTATCACTATGCCCAGCCTTCTCCCTGTACTTTGTACAGGATGCCGTATAAATAAAAGCACAGTTTATAGCCTTTTGAGTCTGAATTGCTGAACTTAGCACAAAGCATCAGAGACTCACTCTGTGTGCACGGTAGTTTGGTAGGAATTTAACTGTGATTCTAAAACTTACAGAGACAGGCCAAACTGCAGCAATTCTTTACTTCAGGGTGGCTAAGTTACACGTAAAGAAAGGCTTGGTTTTGTTTTCTAGCCAGAGGGTGAGATTGTCAGAAGACTAAAGGGAGAACCCAGAGGGGAGAGGCTTATGAGGAGTCTTTCTCTGAGAAGTCAATGAATGGCCTTTTACAGAATAGAATGTTCTGGAATTAATCTGTCTCTCTATGGAGTCTGGGGCTGGAGAAAAGTGGGGACATAGGACTTCCTTCTGAGACACCTGCCCTGAGGCTGTTCATTCACATGACAAGGGCTGCCCGTGGGCCAGAATTTTGGACTAGTTTGTGATACAAGCTAAGATAGTTCCTCTCTGGTGCCTCCTTCCATCTCAAGGAAAACCAATAACCCACAGAATGAGTGGCATTCTACTAGCTATTTCCCTATGGTTACTGGTCTCTCAAGGTCTTTAAGGAGAT